CTCTCCCATCAAGAGGCAGGATCTTTGTTCCCTCCCTTTGAATCTGGGCATCTCTTTGTACTGCCTTAGCCAATAGCTGCATTTTCCTTCCTAGCACATTTGTCTATCTGATGGTTTATATATTTTACCCATTTATTTGTCTTTCTCCCGCCACTAGATATAAACTCCTAAGGTTATGAGTTTTTGTCCCTTTTATTCACTGCTGTGTCTCCAGCCAATCTAACAGGGCTTTACAGTAGAGGGCGCTAAATAAATATTTATTGAGTGCACATTAACAAACAGTTTGTGGCTGTGGGCAAGTGACTTCACCTTTCCATCCCTCAGTCTCCTCCTGTATATGTTGAGATAGTTGAACAAACTTTCTCTCAGGACCTTCTAGTTTTTATATTCTATGATGCTAATATTCCCAGTTACTTCTGGGAAACATGTTCATGTTGAAATTAAAGGATATTCTGTCTGGCTGGAATATGAAAAATTGTAAAAAAAAATATTCTGCTGATAATTACCTGGAAATCTCATCTTTTAAGCATAGAATCTAAAATATTAAGCTTCAATAAATACTACAATTTCAAGTTACTAATTAAGTAGTAAAACGAAGCTTCCATTGACTAAGAACCATTTATAAAAAAATTTTGGGGGTGGCCAGTTGGCTCAGGCGGTTAGAGCGCGGGCTCATAACACCACAGTTGCCGGTTCGATCCCCACATGGGCCGCAGAGTTGTGCCCTCCACAACTAGATTGAAACAACTACTTGACTGGGAGCTGATGGGTCCTGGAAAAACACAGTGTTCCCCAATCAAGTTAAAAAAAAAAAATCTGATTAAAAAAAATTTTGTCAGGCAACATCTTTAATTTTCCAATTTAATTTGCTTATTAGCATAGTGTTTAAGTTTCACAATTTATAAATGTTATACACCATCATAAGTGAAATTACTTTGGTGCTTTGAATAGAATTTTGTGTTGTAGCATGCAGTTTTGTTTCATAATATTAAATGATTTATGAAACATCTAATAAGCCATTACCACTCTTTCATAAATATATCTAATACAAGTGGCAAAAAAAAGGTTAATCAATAAATTAAGGAATCTTTCTGCATATATTTTAAATGTTACTCAAATTGGAGCTGAGACTATATGATCAGAAAGTAGAAATAATATCAATTGAACTCTGTTAAAGTTAAGCTGACTCAAGATAAGTCTCTAAGGACACACAAAAAGTATTTATGAGAAATCACGGTATGGTTAGCAAGTTGTACTTAAGATTCTGTATTATGAGCACTCTTTTGCCCTGGTGGGTGGAAAAACAATAAATTAGTCCGCTGGGAGGCTATCCCATTTTTAAAAAAAAAAATTAAGATTAAATTTACATATAGTAAAATGCACAGATCTCAAGGATATAGACCAGTGAGTATGGACCAGTGCATATGCCCATGTAACGCACACCCCTATCATTTTTTTGATTTTTTCTTAATTAAACTTTTAATTTTGAAATAATTATAGGTTCACATGAGGTTGTTGTAAGAAATAATACAGAGAGAGCCCTTGTACCCTTTACTTTTTATCTTGCACAACTAGAGTACAATATCACAAGCAGGAAGCTGACATTGAAACAGTCAAGACAGAAAATTCCCATCACCACAATGATCTCTCCTGTCGCCTTCTTAGCCACACCTGCCTCCCTCCCACCACCATCCCCTCCTTAGCCCCTGACAGCCTCTCCTCTGTTCTCCATTTCTATAATTTTGCCATTTCAAGAATGTTACATAAATGGAACGATAACAGTATGAAAACTTTTGCGATTGGCTTTTTCCCCCATTCAACATATTTCTCTAGAGATTCATCCAGGTTGTTGGCACGTGTCAACAGCTTGTTCCTTTTTATTGTTGACGAGCATTCTATGGTATGGATGTACCATTGGTAGTTTAATCATTCCACCTGTTGAAATACATCTGCATTGTTCCCAGTTTGTGGCTGTATGAATGAAGCTGCTATAAACATGAAGGTGCAGGTTTCTGTGTGGACACATGTCTTCATTTATTTGGGAATGCAATTCCCAGGAGTGCAGTTGCTGGGTCCTATGGTAGTTGCATGCATAGCCATTTGTTTGATTTAACTGCCAAATTGCTTCCCAGAGTGGCTGTACCATTTTACATTTCCCTCTGAACACTGCTTTCACTGCATCCCACAAATTTCAATA